AAAGCTTTGATTCATTAATAACCATATTATAATCTGAGGGAGCACAAAGTTATTCAGAGGCAGGTACATAAGAAATTCCCTTTATCTATTTGTACGACACTGTTGAGGTCAAGCTGGAGCAGAAGCATTTATATTTTATGACATATTATTATAGAAATAAGTCTTCAATGTTGACATGCTGTCTGAGTCGGGTAGTTTTTCAATATGGAGAGAAATCATTCCATACAAAGACAGTCATGCATAAATAAGTGGTGATTTCTGGGTATTTAGGGAAGAGAATGTCGAGGGTCACATGTGACATGATGCACAAAACAGCTCAGGGAGTAACCTGCAGAGATGTACAGAGCAGGACTCCTTGATGCATGCATATAAATTGTACCTCTGTAACCTCCATGTTAATTGCCATGACAAGTTTTTAATGTTGCAGGATCCAATCTGGATTGGACACCAGGACCAAAGGGTTTAGTCTTCTGAGCTTTTGGACTTGTGCTGGAGCCCATCCTCACGGAACTTCTCTCTCACCTTTCTGTTCACCTGAGGATGAGTTCCAGCATGAGTCCAAAAGTGCGGAAGACTAAACCTCTGTTCCCGGTGACTGACCCCCAACATTATCCTGGGACACATGTATTTGCCTTCATTTGTGAGTTTTTAATGCCATTAACAGTTTGCCTCATTGGACTTCCAGTTGCAGCCATGGCAAGAATGGCTGGAAAATAGCAGGCTCTACTGAGCCCCGTGAAATCCAGCCAGTAACTGCTGCTGGGAGAACCTTCAGGGTCATAGCCTCCTTGGAGGGGAGGTGAAGGAAGGAGAGGCACTTCGCTGGCCAGGAGGAACTCGTAAATTCCTCGTTAGGTCCAAAGCAAACTCTCCCAAATGGCAGCAGGCACGACCACTGGCAGTCATGAAGCGGGGGCAAGCAAGACCCAAGATTTGTGCAGGAGCGGTGTATGGACAGAACATTGAAACTGGGTGAGATAATTACCAACTTTTACTCTAATGACTTGCAATAACAAAAAGAATATAAAAAGAAAACTCCTAAGCTTAAAATAGCGGCGAATTAACACACGGAGAAAAAAAAAAAACAGAAACAAAGAGACAAAAAAAGCCCAAGAGAAGCTATAAAATACAGAAAGCTTGGAAAAAAGTTGATTATTTGAAAGTGACTTTAGGGAGAATTTATTTGCTTATTTGAATTTTTAAATCCTCTGGATTTATTGGATAATCGGCTGTTTTCGACAGATTGCTAAACGTAGGATTTGGGAATAAGAGAGCCATCTACTAGAGAAAGTGAAGTATTGCAACACTATAGCCCCAGTATATTCAATGAAAGCTAATCTAATACACACAAAGCCTAATACACAGAATAAAGTATCATATACAACATCTGTAGAATGGCCTGACCTTGACTCTTGTTAGAAGACTGGGAAAATTTGAGAACATTCAATGGGTTTTTTTCCCTTTTGAAGAGTTATGAAAGGAACTAATTTGTAAACAACTAAACTTTATTAAAACTGACTATTGGATTATGGATTGGAAAGATTGAAAGAATTTAGTGGGTTAATTTGGACTAATTTGAACTTGGACTATTGTTATTTGATAGAATATTCTACGAGGCAAAAGAAGAAAAGGGTCAGAAGAAAAGAGAGAAGAAGGAAAATTAAATAAGACTTTAAAATTTGGACAATTGGGAGATATATAATTAGGGAACTATAAGGCTGTAAATTATTATGAAATAAAATGAGGGGTTTTGGAGGTATAACTATGGGATTGATGTAATTTTATTAGGCAGGAGTTTTTAAATATTGAGATATTGTAACAATAGAAATATACTTTTTATAACCTGTATTAAATCACTATAAAATGGATTTGCAAGAGACATTAGAGATACATGAAGACATATTTTTTATGTTAAAAAGTGTGTGTGAATCTTTAAGAGACAATAAAGAGACAAAGGGATTGTTTAAAGATACAGAGATTAATGTAGAAGCTACTCAACAATTGGGGGGGAAAGAGGAATATGATACTCAAGAAATAGATGAGAAATTAGAAAAAGCAGGGAAAGGGGAAAATAAAAATGAGAAGCGAGAAGTCAAGAACAAAGAGGAGAAAAGATTAATAAGTAGAAGACAATTACTTAACCCCTCAATTTATAATGGTAGAGAGAGAAAAGAGAAAAATATCTTTAAAAAAAACCAAAAAGTCTTGTGGATGGGTGTTCAAATAACGCAACAGAAAGAGATAAAAGGAAAGTTTACTAGACACAAAAAAATCAAAGAGATACAATATTCCGAGAGATAGATAAAAGGCTGACCAAAAAAATCAATAAATGATGGAATTTTAGAAAGATTGAGATGATGGATAATGAGAAAATATATTAATAAAGTGGGGAAATACCATAACCCCAATAAATTCAGATTAGTAGATGGTAATTTAAGATTAAGTAATCTAAACTGTATTATTAATACTGTGTTAAAATATATTGTGAATTTAAAATACTAAGGATTAGAAATGGTAGGGACTTTGGGATACACTCCCGTGATGGATTGAAAATTGTTAATAATTGATGTTATTAGTAATCCCACATATTTGGAATATTGATGCTATGGTGGAATAATGAGTGACTTTTAAAATATTGAATGATAACATTTAGTAAGGGGTAACAAACACAGGATGCAAAGAAATGTTATTTATGTTTAAATGAATTAATGGGAAAATGTAAAAGGAATATGAAATGAGACTAGTATTGTTGAAGTTGGAAGATTAGAACTCCACATATTACTTGTTTTATTATTATTATTAATGTTGTTTAAAAAAGACTTGACCCAGTCAATGCACTGTCCACAAAATATATATGTTTATATTGGAAAAAAATTATTAAAAAAAACATTTTGCCTCATCATGGATTCCTGGGTATATGAGCTGTGGTAGTGCAGTGGTTAGAATGTAGTACTGCAAGCTACTTTTGCTGACTGCTGGCTGCAGTTTGAGTCTCACCGGCTCAAGGTTGACTCGGCCTTCCATCCTTCCAAGGTGAGTAAAATGAGGACCCAGATTGTTGGGGGCAAATTTCCTGACTCTGTAAACTGCTTAGAGAGGGCTGTAAGGCACTGTGAAGCGGTATCGTGACCCGACAAAAGCGCGAACGTCATAAGCGCGCCGACAACACCGC